AAATAAAACATAATAAAATAATTCTCACGACGTTTCTGCCACAACGCAAGCAGCCGTCCTCAGGTGAAGACCAGGTCTGTCGGGGAGAATTATTTTATTATGTTTTCTTTTTATTATTTTTATTATTTTATTATTTTCCTTCTACATGACTTTACCGAAAGAACCAAGAAGATGAACACGTTTGTGTTGCCATCGTTTTTGTTCCCCCGCGGCAAGCATCACGTGTGGCTAATGCAGACGCCTCGCAACAGGCGTGCCTATCTACTCGGTGTTTTGAACGTCTTCAAACGCCTCCTGTATTCTTGCCCCAAAGTGCAGGAAGCTGAGATGCAGAAGGGTGCCGACCCCCCCCCCCCCCCCCCCCCGTCACGCCGAGTTCTACGTCGCCAGCACCGCTGGTGGCACGCGGGCGCGAGCTCGGGGTCACGAGAGAGGTCCCACCAGGTGACAGGCGAAGGGCGCCCCACGTGCAGCTAGATGTTAACTCCCTCGCCTGGTGTACAGGAGGTCGTGGGTTCGATCGCGACCCTGACGCCTGCTGCTGTATATTTGGAGTTTGCGTGTTTCTCTCTCATCACCATCACGGTGGCTAGGAGATGTTGACTACCTCGCCTGGTGTACAGGAGGTCGTGGGTTCGATCGCGACCCTGACGCCTGCTGCTGTATATTTGGAGTTTGCGTGTCTCTTTCATCATCATGGTGGCGAGGAGATGTTAACTGCCTCGCCCGGTGTACAGGAGGTCGTGGGTTCGAAAGCAAACCTGACGCCTGCTGTATATTGGGAGTTTGCGTGTATCTCTCTCATCACCATCACGATGGCTAGATGTTAACTGCCTCGCCCGGTGTACAGGAAGTCGTGGGTTCGATCGCGACCCTGACGCCTGCTGCTGTATATTTGGAGCTTGTGTGTGTGTCTCTCTCTCTCTCTCTCATCCCGTGGTCGCGTGGATTTTTATGCGGGTCCTCCGGGTTTTCCCCTCCACGGTGTAGAACAATATCGCTCGTTCAGAATATTTGGCTGCTATAAATTTCTACACGATGATAAGCCACCACTTCGTTGAGCTGATCATTTGCGGCCAGGTCGCTTCTGGAAAGAAAAGAAGAGCTCGTGGGCCTTTACCTGGAGACGTAAAAAAATAATTTAAATCTTGACTTAAAGCTTTCGTGACTGCATGAATTCATATTGTTTGAGTCTTTCGGTAAAGTCACGCAGATAGGTTTAAAGAAAATAATAATAAAAAAACTACGACGTTTCAATCGCAATACAACACAAGCGGTCGTCCTGATGTCTTGCGATCGAAACGTCGTCGTGGGTGCAGCAGGAGCACGTGCGTGCAGCAGGGTCACGTGGGTGCAGCAGGGTCACGTGGGTGCAGCAGGGTCACGTGGGTAACCCCGCACCTGTCGTTCCATCGTCAAAACGCGCTCCGCTCACGTTGGACGCGCGCGCTGTTCCCAAACCGGTGACCGTCAGGAACACGTGATGTTCACTCTGCCACTGCTGCGTCGCCACCCACATATCTCAAGGCACGTGTTGTGGTTGGCATTACCGCCCTTACCCTATTTGGTTGGCATTACCGTATTTACCATATTTGGTTGGCATTACCGTATTTACCATATTTGGTTGGCATTGCCGTATTTACCCTATTTGGTTGGTATTACCGTCTTTACCCTATTTGGTTGGCATTGCCGTATTTACCCTATTTGGTCGGCATTACCGTATTTACCCTATTTGGTTGGCATTACCGTATTTACCCTATTTGGTTGGCATCACCATACTTACCCTATTTATTGCTAAAAGAGTGGCCCCGCTGCGCGTGACGCTGCGTAGTGGCCGTGTTTGTGTGTCTGTGTGTCTGTGTGTGTGTCTGTGTGTGTGTCAGTGTGTGTGTCTGTGTGTCTGAGTGTTTGTGTCAGTGTGAGTGTCTGTGTGTGTCAGTGTGTGTATGTCTGTGTGTGTGTCAGTGTGTGTGTCTGTGTGTCTGAGTGTTTGTGTGTGTCTGTGTGTCTGTGTGTCTGTGTGTGTCTGTGTCTCGGTCATCTCGGTCAGTCGACCCGTGGCACAATGCTGTGTCTGCCCCGTGACCTCCTGCAGAGCGGGCATTCGACACTACACGTGGCCTCAAGGTGCACTTGGCCTGGCACAAGCGTCGTGGTGACGTCACCGCTACTTAGTGGCGAATGGCGGTTGTTGTGTTGTTGTGTGTGTCTGTCTGTGTGTGTGTCTGTGTGTGTGTGTCTGTGTGTGTCTGTATGTGTGTGTCTGTGTGTGTGTCTGTCTGTGTGTGTGCGTGTCTGTGTGTGTGTCTGTGTGTTTGTGTGTGGTTGTGTGTGTCTGTGTGAGTGTCTGTGTGTGTCTGTGTGTGTGTCTGTGTGTGTGTCTGTGTGTGGGGAGCGATGGTGTAGCGGTTAGCGCGCTGCGCTATGAACCCGGCGTCCCGAGTTCGATTCCCGGTCACGGCCAACACCGCTGACGATCGTTTGAACCGGTCCTGGGCCGCCTCCCCTAGGTCGACTCAGCCTCAAATGAGTGCCTGGTGCGGTGTGGTAAACATCGCCACTTAGCGGGCGTGTTAGCTGGCCACCCCATCCCCTCGCGTGCCGTTCCGGCCTTAATAGGTGCTCGCTAACAGCACTTGCCCCGACAGTCTGTCAAGGCTACAACGTCGGGAGGGGGATCTTTGTCTTACATGGACACATTGCAGCGCATTATGTTGAGCGACTGTCTAATGAATTTCGATTTAAAGCTTTCGTGACTGCAGGGATTCATCTTCTTGGTTCTTTCGGTAAAGTCACGTAGAAGGGAAGTAATAAAATAATAAAAATGAAACAATAAAATAATTCTCACGACGTTTCGGCTACTTGCGTTGTAGCCGAAACGTCGTGAGAATTATTTTATTATGTTTTATTTTTATTATTTTATTACTTCCCTTCTACGTGACTTTACCGAAAGAACCAAGAAGACTGTCTAATGCTTGCCGACCCCATCTACTCCATCACCCAGAAGCCCTCGGTGTACCTGCACCCCACGTGCGCGCGCGATTACGCAGCGGCATCACAAGCCGCTCTTACAGCGACTATAACCGACAGTTAAATAATAAGAAAAATACACAATAAGACACATTTTTTTTACAGCCCTTTGTAAATCCACTGCTGGATGAATCGCCTGGCCAATGCCGCGTTCGACTCGGCCGTAACGCCACCACAGCCTGCGCTGGTTTCAGAAACTCACTCGCATTCGCCGGATGGTAACAGCCGCGGACTGGGACTCGAAATCAGGCCACCGAGTGTCCGTAGCTGTCGACCTCCCAGCCAAGCCACGCGCATCTCCACACGCTCGGTCGGGGACTACCCGACTCGAACGCCTGTGGGTCTCTTTAACTTCTACTGTGACCCGGCCGCCCCTCCACACCCGCTTGGTGACAAAACGCAATTGACTGCTCTCTCTCTAAATACCACTCGTAAAAAAAAGTTATTCCTATTACCTCGAACATTTTTTATATTACTGGCAGGAACCTCCTGGTTACACCAGCTCACAGGGGATTATTGTGTCCGTCCGTCGTGCAGGGAGGGGCTGGGTGGGGAGGGAGGGGCTGGGTGGGGAGGGCTGGGTGGGGAGGGTGGGGGTGGGAGGGGTGGGGCTGGGTGGGGAGGGGCTGGGTGAGGAGGGGCTGAGTGGGGCTGGGTGGGGAGGGTGGGGAGTGGCTGGGTGGGGAGGGTGGGGCTGGGTGGGGAGGGGCTGGTCACCCCGTGGTGCCCTTATAAAACTCAACGTTTAACCTACTCACGCCGGCTTGTGCCCGCCCTCACAGTCGGGCATATTTGCGTAATACACCACGCCGCCGTTGACCCTGGCCATTGACCGAGCCAACCCAACGTCCTACCAGCTCCCTCCGCAGGAATGTGTTAAAAACGCGGCTGTTATTTTGTTTTGAGGATTAACTATCACGGGGTATCAACGTGAATTCACGTCCAGAAACGAGACGGAGTTAACAAACGTCGTGACCGACTGCCCATCGACCCCCTCGCGTTCGCATCACACACGCGCACGTAGCTGAACTTTGTTCGCGCCGTACGCGAGCCAACCGCGTGCTCGCAAGGTCCCGGGGTGGGTGGGGGGGGAAACACCTTTCGATTTGATTTCACAAACGGCCAATGAAGTATTTTTATATTTTACATGAAACTAAACGCGTTCGTCGATTAAAAATAAAAACATAAAAGATCATTCTGCTCATGTTGCTGTGAAGAAGGACCATTTCCCGGAACGTTGTCTGTTTTACATCCGTTGTTGTTGTTGCTGTTGTTCATAATAAGGCCACACACAGAGAGAGGGGTTTGTTTTTGACGACTGAGTCGTTGAGTTCGCGTTGTTGGCTGTGCACCGCTACCAACGCAGCAGCGGCAGCAGCAGCATCAGCAGGAGGAACAGGAAGAGCATTGCCGATTCTTTCACGGTCCACGGAACGTTTGCAGGGGTCGAGGCACGACCGGTGCGCTCCAGGAAGCACCGGTCTCGACCTCCGCTGTTCCGCAACATCTGAGTCGTCACCCTTCCTGCTGCGCGCGACTCTGCTTCTGTTATTCCTCGTTGGTGTCGCCGGCGCACGTGACGTGATGCACGTGGCGTGGCGCACGTGGGTGGTGCACGTGACACGTGATGTGTCGCACGTGACACACGTGACGTGGCGCACGTGGCGTGGTGCACGTGGCGCACGTGGTGCACGTGACGTGGCGCACGTGACACGTGACGTGGCGCACGTGACACGTGACGTGGCGCACGTGACACGTGACGTGGCGTGGCGCACGTGACACGTGACGTGGCGCACGTGACGTGGCGCACGTGGCACGTGACGTGGCACACGTGACGTGGCGCACGTGGCACGTGACGTGGCGCACGTGGGTGGCGCACGTGGCGCGCGCTTCGTTTCAGAGGCGGGGGGAGAGGGGAGCGCGGGGGGACACACACCAAAAAGCCGCTTCGTAGAAAATCTCGCCGGGGCCTACTGGAGCCTGGACCAGTAGTGTGCGAGCTCCTGGTCTCCGCTCGGGATGGAGAGCGGGAAGGAGAGGCCCAGTGACAGCATCCCTACACGGCCGGGGGGGGGGGGGGGGGGACATACGCGGTACTGTTAACTACCTCGCCTGGTATACAGGAGGTCGTGGGTTCGATCCCGACCTTGACGCCTGCTGTATATTTGGAGTTTGCCGTGTCTTTCTCTCATCATCATCACGGTGGCTAGGAGATGTTAACTACCTCGCCTGGTATACAGGAGGTCGCAGGTTCGATCCCGACTCTGACACCTGCTGTGTATTTGGAGTTTGTGTGTGTGTGTCTCTCTCTCTCCCCATGGTCGCGTGGAGTTTTCTCCGGGGTTCTCCCTCCACATTTATAATGATACATTTATAATTATAAATGTGGAGGGACAACGTCACGCGTTTAAGAGTATCAACGTCACGCGTTTAAGAGTATCAACGTCACGCATTTAAGAGTATCAACGTCACGCGTTTAAGAGTATCAACGTCACGCGTTTAAGAGTATCAACGTCACGCGTTTAAGAGTATCAACGTCACGCGTTTAAGAGTATCAACGTCACGCGTTTAAGAGTATCAACGTCACGCGTTTAAGAGTATCAACGTCACGCGTTTAAGAGTATCAACGTAACGCGTTTAAGAGTATCAACGTCACGCGTTCAAGAGTATCAACGTCACGCGTTCAAGAGTATCAACGTCACGCGTTCAAGAGTATCAACGTCACGCGTTCAAGAGTATCAACGTCACGCGTTCAAGAGTATCAACGTCACGCGTTCAAGAGTATTCGGCTGCTGCTAAAAATTGCACGTGACGACGACGACGATGATGATGATGACAAGCCACCACTTCGTTGAGCTATTATTATGTTCCTGGTAAAATAATAACAACAAAATAAACAGTTTAGTTTTGTTTAGTTGCAACGCGAACCGCTGCAAAGCCCCGAACGGTTCACGTGATCGGACGAGGCGATCTCGACGAGGCTGACCTCGTGCTGTCTTTGTGTGACCACGTGACCAGCAGGTGGGGGGGAGGGGCTAGGGGGTTGGGGGCTGTCCTCTCTTACCGTGGGGAGGAGCGGTTTTCGCCCCAAGGTCACGCTGTGGGAACACTGCTCACCGCCGTATAGAAATGTCGCAGTAGAAACGGGGAGGTTTCGGTCTCGAAAACCCCTGCTGTGTTCCTGGTCGCTACAATTAACTTTATATATATATATATATACGTGTATGTGTGAATAGTGAGAGAACAGATTACTGTACCGTTGGATCCCATATGGCTAAAACGATTTAATAAAATAGTAACAATGAAATTTAGTATTCCACACTTGGAATAATCGTTAGCGTGTCAAACCGTCACCTTTGAAATCATCGAGATTGGCAACTAATTTCTTTAAAACTGCTTTTTTGTGTTTAGTTTATTGTCTTTCCAACTATGATACAGCACGCTTGGCTACGTACGGTGCGAAAGAAGTTCGACATACAAGCACGTGGCACTTATTATCATCATCGTACAGCTTGATGGAGAGCTCTCCCAAAGCCCCAAGTCGCTTTGTGTGTACTGTACGTTGAACTTCCTTCGCACCGTATGTAGCCAAGCGTGCTGAATCGGAGTTGCCGGGGGAAGGACACGCGTAACTCATCCAGTCACCCGCCATGCGTTCGGATTCAAAATCTTTGTTGACACGGGAGAAATCCGACGGCCTATAAAGCTCTTCACCCCGCACGCCCCCACGGCCTGTGACGTCACAGCCGGTAGAGGCGGATGGGGGCGGCTCCATTTCGCTCACCTGGGGATCCGGCGTTGGGCGCTCCCATTGGCTGGCTGCCCACGTGCGGTGACGGCTGATTGTTTGAGTACGCTTCGAACCCTCGCATCGGATTGGACGACACCATGCACGAGAAAGTCTGCGTCTGATTGGTGGACGTCGGCTGAGCGAGAGGGGGGGAAATAACCCAGTCTTAGCAACTCATACACGGGACAATTATAACAATGATGAGAACAATGATAATAACATTGATAATAAGGGGCTGTCCATAAATGACGTCACGCGATTTTGAACGATTTTTGACCCTCCCACCCCCTCGTCACACGGCGTCACAAAAAGTCAGACCCCTCCCCTCAAATATGACGTCACAAAGCTCTGCCCCCCCCCCCCCAAAAAATAAAGCATGCTTCAAATCGCTTTAAACTATTGTCATTGTAGTGCGTATTTAATGTGGCGCTGCACTCTGATGTTGTAGGAGAAAACATTTATTCAAAAGGAGGCGTTGGAAAGCTGAAATTTAGCATAAAAATCACTTGAAAATATTCAACGTCTAACTAAAACTGGAGATGTTCAGAATATTATATTGAAATGATATTATAATTATAAAATATTAAAAGTAATTATAACTATAAAAAAAATACTTGAAACTTTGTAGTAGAACGAAGCTAAATGGAGAGTACAATTATCACAATCACATATTCATTACACAGAATTAAAAGCCCTGATAGAATCATTAAAATCTAAATGTTTAATAACAATCGTTTAAAAAAATGTTCAAAATGTATGCTTCTCCATTCTCCCATGGAGAAGCAAAATGCTCCTTCATGGAATAAACAAAAGGTGACCTTAGTACATTTGAATAATCAAATAGTTAATAATGAAAATTATAAAAAAAATAGTGTTGTTATAACAATTCTATATTTATTTAAAGTTGCGCATTTTGATGTGACGTCACATTTCTCAACCCCCCCCCCCCTCGTCACACATCGTCACAAATGTCTGACCCCCCACTCCCTAGGTGCGTGACGTCATTTATGGACGGCCCCTAACAACAGGTTGCAAAGTCGGTCCATTCACCCTTCCCAATATCAAATGCACCCAAAGAGTGATTGTCTTTAATGTGACAGGCTTTTATCCATGCAAATCGAGACAATTGCGCGGGTTATTGGAAGTAATCCTCTTTTTTAAATCCTTTATATTAAGCTCACTTGCTTGCTTGCTTGTGCGCTTACGACCGTGCAAATCTTTCGGTCGTTTTTTAACCCACTTCCCGTGATCCAATCGAGCTGACATTTTGCACACAGACTTTGTTGTGCGTGACAATTTATGTTAGTGAAATTTTTTTCCCAAAATTTTACACTTTTTAGGAAACAAACAATAATATTTAATTACCAATTGCTTAATGGTGGCAGGCAATCATCTGACCCATAAGTGGCAGCCATCTCAAGCCAGAGGACGAGAGGACTCTAGCCGCCCGTTTCAAAGACCAATGTGGGCTGGGTTGTGGCCCATTGAACACGCATATAAAGGATTTATAGTGAAACACTTTGTTTTTACGGGTTACTTTTTTAAATGATCCAAATTTCGGCGGCAGATTTGTGACGCGGGCACCGTCGTTCCGAAAGGCCCACCAGCTGCCCCATCCAACACGAGCGTGTATCGAGCATTGCCCAGTAGTTCTTGCCGAACTCGTTACACGCGCACAATAGAACCACCAATGCCTTGCTGCTAATCTCGTCCAGGAGAATAAACCACCAGCGTCACGTGACACTCCGGTCAACCTCGCAGCAGCAGCAGCAGTGGCGGCGGCTTTTGGCTAAAGCCATCGGACAAAGACGGTCGTTGTCGTCGCGCGCTTCCAGATGCGCTTCTGCGGCCGTCTGGAACGCTCTTCCGATATGAAGAAGCCACTGGGAGCTATTCACTTTTTAAATCCTTTATATTAAGTTCACTTGCTTGCTTGCTTGCGCGCTTACGACCGTGCAAATCTTTCGGTCGTTTTTTAACCCACTTTCCGTGATCCAATCGAGCTGACATTTTGGCACACAGACTCGTTGTGCGTGACAATTTATTTTTGTGAAAATTTTTTGTTTCTAAATTTTCCACTTTTTAGGAAAAAAAATGTTATATTTAATTTCAAATACCAATGTGATAAAAATGAAACTCTTACTCAAGAAAAACATAAATGAATAATAAAATAAAACCGATGCCACGCATATAAAGGATTTATAGTGAAAAACTTTGTTTTTACGGGTTAATTTTTTAAATCATCCAGTTTGTTGTCCTTCCCCCGCACCTCCGTTTAACACGGCTATGCTACGTACGTGCGAAAAAAGTTCAACACGAACACACGTGCACAATCTTGATTCTGAAGCTTTCGTGCCTGCAGGAATCCATACTCTTTGGTTCTTTCGGTAAAGTAACGAAGGTAGAAAATTCATAGATCATGACGGTTGCTTGTGTTGCGTGCGTGTGTGTGTGTGCATGTGTGTGCGTGGGCAAAGTCCCATCGGTGAGCTCCTCCAGCAGGCAAGGCTGCGTTGGCTGGGTCATGTAGCCCGCATGCCCAGTCACTGCATGCCTAAACAGCTTTTGTTCGGCCGGATCGAGGGGGCTAAACGGGCGCGGTACGGACTAGAGAAGAGATGGAGTGATGTGGTACAGGAGGACGTGGAGCTGAGTGGACTTGCCAATGACTGGTACCAGCGGTGTCAAGATCGGCCTCTGTGGAGGAGGCTCGTAAAGGACGCTACTGGGCAGTTGGAGGCAGTCGCCCTCCAACAACAACACAGGGCGGAGGAGCGACGCTCACAACAACGAGCGGAGCGCCGGGTGGCTAAAGCACAGTAAGTTGGTACAGTAGGGGGCACAGGTGGTGCATCAGCCAGTCATCTCGGTCATCTCGGTCAGTCGTCCCGTGGCACCTGGGTCTGCCCCGTGACCTCCTGCCAGCGGGCGTTCGACACTTCACGTGGCCTCGAGGTGCACATGGCCTGGCACAAGCGTCGTGGTGACATCACCGCCACTTAGTGGCGAATGGCGGTTGTTGTTGTTGTGTGTGCGTGCGTACGCGTGTGTGTGTGCGTGTGTGTGTGTGTGTGCGCGTGCGTGTGTGTATGCGTGCGTGTGTGTGTGCGCGTGTGTGTGTACATGTGTGCGCGTGTGCTGCACCTGGCTGGGCAGCCCACCGCCCGGGTAGCTGCTCATGGGGCCCACGGCTCCATAGGCGCCGGGGATGCTCACCGACTCCACGGGGCTCAGCATCTGACCTGCAACGGCCGCTGTGCGTTAGAGCAGTGGCTCCCAACCGGGGTGGATATACGTGGTTCCCAACCGGGTACGTGAGGTTACTTGTCAATCGATAAATCACCTGGGCACGGGAACGCGAGCTCACCTTGTTGCGCGTGCGAGTGGTGGTGGTGCTGCTGGTGCTGGTGCTGGAAGGAGCCGCCGTAGGTCCCCTGGGTGCCGGCGCTCTGCCCGGGGTCGCCTGTGTCCCCGGCGGGCAGCTGCCGCCTCTGGTGCCGCATCTTCTCCTCGCGACGCCACTTGGCGCGACGGTTCGAGAACCACACCTGGGACAGGGACAGGGCGGTGAAAGGTGAACGGTGGCGTGCGGGGGTTCGCGTTGGCGGCGGCGAGGGGGGCGGGTGTGGAATGTATGCATGCACGTTTGAGCTTCTTTCGCGCCGTACGTAGAACGAACGTGGTAATTGCAGGTGCGGGGCGGGGAGGAGAGGGGGTCGGAAACAACAAACTAAACACACAAAGCGGTTCTGAAGAAATTCGTTTTCAATCCACGCGACCTGAACGTGCGTAGCTCCCAGCTGCTTCCCAATATCGGCTGGAGGAGCGACGTTCCGCAGAAGAAGCGTTTACAGCTAAAACCGAAACATGTTTTTTATTTAAATTTCGATTTAAAGCTTTCGTGACTGCAGGGATTCATCTTCTTGGTTCTTTCGGTAAAGTCACGTAGAATGGAAATAATAAAATAATAAAAATTAAACATAACAAAATAATTCTCACGACGTTTCGGCCACAACGCAAGTAGCCGTCCTCAGGTGGAAAACAGGTCTGTCGAGGAGACAGAGTCAGACTCGGCTACTTGCCTCTGTCTACTCGACAGACCTGTTCTCCACCTGAGGACGGCTGCTTGCGTTGTGGCCGAAACGTCGTGAGAATTATTTTATTACGTAAAATTTTTATTGTTTTATTATTTCCATTCTACGTGACTTTACCGAAAGAACCAAGAAGATTTTTTTATTTACTTTACCAGGTCAGGCCAAGCTGAGCTGTCGAGGTTTTTTTTAGGGGGGGGGGGTCAAACATTTGTAAATAAATATATAATTGTTATAACAACACTAATTGTTATAACAACACTCCTACAACGTCAAAGTGCAGCGCCACGTAAAATACGCACTACAATGACAATAGTTTAAAGCGATTTGAAGCATGTTTTATTTTCAAAATGGAAATATGGTTTTGGGGGGGGGGCAGAGCTTTGTGACGTCACATTTGAGGGGGTCTGACTTTTTTTAACGCCGTGTGACGAGGGGGGCGGGGGTCAAAAATCGTCCAAAATCGCGTGACGTCATTTATGGACGGCCCCATATGCACGACGTTGATTCTAAATGTGGAAGGGGAAAAACTAAAAGGGACCCGTAGAAAAATGCAAACTCCAATTGCACAGCAGGCCGCAATGCTCGGAATCGAACTGGCGACCTCGTGCATACCAGGCGAGGTAGTTAACATCTCCTAGCCCATACCCTTAGGGTTTTTTCGGTAAAGTCACGTAGGTAAAAAAATAAAATTAAAATTAATAAAAGTAATAATAAAAATAAAATAATATAATAAATCACGACGTTTCATACTCTTAGGTTTTAGGTAAAGTCACATAGGTAAAAAATAAAATTTTAATTAATAAAAGTAATAATAGAAATAAAATAATAAATCACGACGTTTCGGAGGCAACACAAGTCTCCGTCATCGTGTTGCCTCCGAAACGTCGTGATTTATTATTTTACTTTATTTCTACTATTACTTTTATTAATTTAAATTTAATTTTTTACCTACGTGACTTTAAATTTCGATTTCAAGCTTTCGTGACTGCAGGGCTCATCTTCTTGGTTCTTTCGGTAAAGTCACGTAGAAGGGAAGTAATAAAATAATAAAAATAAAACATAATTAAATAATTCTCACGACGTTTCGGCCACAACGCAAGCAGCCGTCTTCAGGTGGAGAACAGGTCTGTCGGGGAGACAGCGCCTGAATGAAACACCACCACGCTTGGAGCGTATATTTAAGCTGGGTTGGAAGGGGGGAAGGGCGCCTTGACAAAATAATTTGCATATCAAGAGGAATTTAGCATATTTATGGGAAATGCAGATATGTGATTAGCACTGCTTGTGAAATGCGTAGGAGGTGGGCGGGGGGTTTCAAAGTCATATTATGCCCGTGCATTATGCAGGATTAGCAGCATCAAAGGGAGGGAATAGGGGTAGCATTAACTTTACCTAAAACCTAAGAGTATGAATCCTTGCAGTCACGAAAGCTTCACATCTAGAATCTCCTAGCCACCACGGCCAGCCGAAAGCCGTCACTGATGGTCGCGTTGATCGTGTCACGTGTCCTGGACGAGCCCGAACAGCACGAGAAGATTCTAGATTTGAAGCTTTCGTGACTGCAAGGATTCATACTCTTAGTTCTTTCGGTAAAGTCACGTAGGTAAAAAAATGAAATTAAAATTAATAAAAAATAAAAAATAAAAAATCATTGTTTTTATTTTTTATTAATTTTAATTTCATTCAAAAATGTAATTTAAATTTATAAAAAATAAAAACAATAAAATCATTGCTTTTATTTTTTATTAATTTTAATTTCATTCAAAAATTACATTAAAATTAATAAAAATAAAAACAATAAAATAATTGTTTTTATTTTTTATTAATTATAATTTCATTCAAAAATTTAATTAAAATTAATCAAAAATAAAAAAATAAAAATCATTGTTTTTATTTTTTATTCATTTAAATTTCATTCAAAAATTAAATTAAAATTAATAAAAAATCAAAACAATTTTTATTTTTATTTCATTTTTACCTACGTGACTTTACCGAAAGAACTACGAGTATATACAGCACGAGAAGAGAGAGCCCTTCCCCGTTACCTGGATCCTCGCCTCCGGGAGGTCGATTTTCGAAGCCAACCTCTCGCGGGCGAACACGTCGGGGTAGTGCGTCCGTTCGAATTCTACACAAAGACAAAGATCCCCCGTGTAGCCTTTAGACTGTTTAGGGGCAAGTGCTGTTAGCGAATATATATGAGTCACAACGCAAATGCAAAGATCCCCCGTGTAGCCTTTAGACTGTTTGGGGGCAAGTGCTGTTAGCGAGCAGTTATGAGTCACAGGACAAATGCAAAGATCCCCCGTGTAGCCTTTAGACTGTTTGGGGGCACGTGCTGTTAGCGAGCAGTTATGAGTGACAGCACAAATACAAAGATCCCCCGTGTAGCCTTTAGACTGTTTGGGGGCAAGTGCTGTTAGCGAGCAGTTATGAGTCACAGGACAAATGCAAAGATCCCCCGTGTAGCCTTTAGACTGTTTGGGGGCAAGTGCTGTTAGCGAGCAGTTATGAGTCACAGCACAAATGCAAAGATCCACCGTGTAGCCTTTAGACTGTTTGGGGGCACGTGCTGTTAGCGAGCAGTTATGAGTGACAGCACAAATGCAAAGATCCCCCGTGTAGCCTTTAGACTGCTGGGGGCAAGTGCTGTTAGCGAGCAGTTATGAGTCACAGCACAAATACAAAGATCCCCCGTGTAGCCTTCAGGCTGTTTGGGGCAAGTGCTGCTAGCGAAGGTCTATGAGTCACAACACAAATACAAAGATCCCCCGTGTAGCCTTCAGACTGTTTGGGGCAAGTCCTGTTAGCGAAGGTCTATGAGTCACAACACAAATACAAAGATCCCCCGTATAGCCTCCAGACTGTTTAGGGCAAGTGCTGCTAGCGAAGACCTATGAGTCATAACACAAAAGCAAAGATCCCCCGTATAGCCCTGTAGAGTGTTTGGGGCAAGTCCTGTTAGCGAAGGTCTATGAGTCGCAACACAAATACAAAGATCCCCCTTATAGACTTCAGACTGTTTAGGGCAAGTGCTCTTAGCGAGTACCTATGAAGGTCGGCACGGCACACGAGATGGTGGGTGGCCAACACCACGCCCGGCCGCCTTTGTCTCCCCAGTGGCGATATTTTACACACCGCACCAGCTACTCATTTCAGGCTGAGTCGACCTCGGTGAGGCCCAGGACCGGCTCAGATAATCGTCACTGGGTGTGGGCCGTGAGCGGGAATCGAACTCGGGACGCTGGATTCACCGACGCTAACCGCTAACCGCTTCCCACAACACACACGCGCACTCACACACGTGTGCAGGGATTCACAGACGCTACATTGACAGCTTAGGCCGGTGATGTCACACTGCCTTGTGGAACACCAACAAAGGCCACACTGCTAATGAGCTCTCAATGGACCGGGCTTTTACGGATTGAGATCGAGCTCGCAGAGAGACGAAAAGAGAAACAAGGAGCGAATGGGGTCAGTTTCTTCTGTCTGGCCTCTATTTCACATTGCTATGGGGAAGGGCCGTTGCCTGAAACGTCACCTGTTCTATATGTTTTCCCCTATAAGGCTACATGCGTGCGCGCGCACACGTAGTTGTTGTTGTTGACGAGTGTGTTTATAATTCTTTGTTAATTGTGCTTCTGCAGTGCTTACAAAGGGGTAGCATCATCAGCATCAGCAGCATCATCATCAGCATCATCATCAGCAGCAGCGGCAAGTGATTGGCATCGTCTGGGGTTGTCTCAAGGTACAAAATTTAGTGCATTACACCGGGGGGGGGGGGGGGGGGGGGGGGGGGACGACCAACGGATAAGGAGGTCAAGAGGTGACTTTGTGTGAGCAACAAAGACAGAGAGAGAGAGACAGAGAGGGCGGAGCGGGCGGGGGGGTTTATGGGCAACGTAAAAACTGCTTTGGAAAAGTGGGCAGGTTCACTTTTAGTGCTCAAGGAGATGGGTGTGCGTGTGTGTGTGTGCGTGTGTGTGTGTGCGTGTGTGGTGTGTGCGTGTGTGTGTGCGCGTGTGTGTGCGTGTGTGCGTGTGTGTGTGTGTGGTGCGTGTGTGCGTGTGCGCTGGAGTAATATCCGTGCTTGTGTGCGCGTGTGTGCGTGTGTGTGTGTGGTGTGTGTGTGCATGTGTGCGTGTGTGTGTGCGTGCGTGTGTGTGCGGGTGCTGGAGTAATATCCGTGCTTGCGTGTGTGTGTGCGTGTGTGTGCGTGCATGTGTGCGTGTGTGTGTACGTGTGCGTGTACGTGTGTGTGTGCGTGTGTGTGCGTGTATGTGCGTGCGTGTGTGTGCGTGCGTGTATGTGCGTGTGTGTGTGTGCGTGTGTGTGCATGTGTACGTGTGTGTGTGCGTGTGTGCCTTTGTCTTTGGGGCGGTAGTTTAGTGGCGGTTAGCGCTACGAACCCGACGAGCCGAGTTCGATTCCCGCTCACGGCCACCGCCAACACCGGTGTCAGGATTATCTGAACCGGTTCCTGGGCCTCCCCTGGGTCGACTCAGCCTCAAACGAGTTCCCTGGTGCGGTGCGTAAAAACACCGCCACTCGGGAGACAAAGGCGGCCGGGTGTGCGTGGTGCTGGCCAACCTACCGCCTCCTGTGCCACTAGGTGCTCGCTACTCGCTACGTAACAACACTTGCCACAACAGTTGCCTTTGCGGATCAGACGAGGCTCAACTTCTGGTCACGAAGTGTCCAGAAGAGGATGCCGTGTGGCCTCGGAATTGAAGTGCCATGGGGGGGGGGGCGGGTTTGGGGAATTGCGAGGACATTTCATGGCCGGATAGGCCCAAAAGCAACTTGAGCGGTTTTCGAATTCGAACACGGCTGGAAATCGCCCGCACACAAGGGGGGAGAGGTAGCAACGGGAGGGGCTGGAACCTTTGCGCGATTGCATGGCGGCTGTTGAGAGCAGTGGGGCTTTTTCTTCTTCTTAGCCTGGGGATGCACGCAACGCTCCTGGGAGTGCGAGATGCCCCTTTTCTGGGGGTGGCGAGACACGGGCCAGATTGATTCCGCAGGTAAAATAATCGAAAGCACAACTTAAGCACGTAAAGTGCGACTTACTTTGTTTCATCAAACCCCTCTGTATTCTTGGTTCTTTCGGTGAAGTCACGTAGAAGGGAAATAATAAAAGAAGAAAAAGAACACAATAAAATTCTCACGACTTTTTATTTCTGCTGTGGGTTTCACACCTGATGACGATGATTGCTTGTGTTGCAATCGAAACGTCGTGAGAATTTTATTGTTTAATTTTTATTATTTTATTATTTCCTTCTAACGTGACTTTTCCCGAAAGAACCCTGCAGTCACGAAAGCTTTAAATCGAAACCCCTCTGTGTTTATTAACACCCTACATTGAGAACAAAAGTGGGGGCAGGCAGCAGAAAAAGTTAAGAACCGCTGCTTTCAATTATTTCAGCCGCTATGAATTTCCACGTGCCGGTCTGCCATCCCGTTGCGCTGTCACGTGGTGTGGCCTGATCATAAATGACGTCACGCGATTTTGGACGATTTTTGAACCCCCCCCCCCCCCCTCGTCACACGGCGTCACAAAAAGTCAGACCCCCCCCCCTCAAATATGACGTCACAAAGCTCTGCCCCCCCCCCCCCCAAAAAAAAACTATATTTTCATTTTGAAAATAAAACATGCTTCAAATCGCTTTAAACTATTGTCATCGTAGTGCGTATTGAATGTGGCGCTGCACTCTGATGTTGTAGGAGAAAACATTTATTAAAAAGTCAATTTAATTAAGTAGAACGTGTTGTCTATATTTATTTAAAGTTGCACATTTTGATGTGACGTCACATTTCTCTCAACCCCCCCCCCCTCGTCACACATCGTCACAAATATCTGACCCCCACCCCGACCCCCAGGTGCGTGACGTCACTTATGGACGGCCCCTACTTGGTCAAACATTTTCTCCTACGCTGAACTCCTTTGTATTGTTTGTTGTTGTGACTTTCTGAGCCCGTGCCCTTCCTGGACATCTGAGAATAAAGATAACTTCATAGCTCATCGGATTCCTGCTGCAGTGCGACTGCCGAATTCTGATTGTGACTGAGAGAGTGGCACGGAGTGGTTTTTGTTGAGCCCGAGGGAAGCCCTGACGCCAAGTGGTGGAGATATTGCGGCAGCTGACCTCGAAGGTCAGATTCAACTTTGAAGGATTGAAGCCACGGTGATGAGTGGCAAAACTATTCATTTCATTTGACCAGGCAAGGCACGCTGAGCCATAAAGCTCTTTTTTAAAAATCCTTTATATTAAGTTCACTTGCTTGCTTGCGTGCTTGCGTGCTTGCTTGCTTAGGACCATGCAAATCTTTCGGTCATTTTTTAACCCACTTCCCGTGATCCAATCGAGCTGACATTTTGCACACAGACTCGTTGTGCGTGACAATTAATTTTCGTGAAAAAAAATTTCTCCTAAATTTTACACTGTTTAGGGAATTTTTTAAAAATATTTATTTACCAATTGCTTAATGGTGGCAGACAATCATCTGACCCATAGGTGGCAGCCATCGCAAGCCAGAGGACGAGAGGACTCTAGCCGCCACGCATATAAAGGATTTATAGTGAAAAACTTGGTTTTTACGGGTTATACTTTTTCTTCTTTCAAACTCGACCTGGCTGTGACAAATTGACAGCTCAACGAAGTTGTCTTTAATCACGTGGACATTCACAGCAGCCAAACACTCTAAACGCGTGACGCTCGTTCTAAACGTGGAAGGAAAAGGCCGTAGGAGGCCGGAGAAAAATCCACACGGCCACGAGGAGTGACAGAGAGAGAGACACCGCAAACTCCAAATGTACAGCAGCAGGCGTCAGGGTCGGGATCTAACCCACGACCTCCTGCATACCGGGCGAGGTTGTTAACATCTCCTAGCCACCGTGATGATGATGGCCGCGCACTAAAGTCCACCAGGGTTTCCACCAGTGTCCAACGAAGAGTGCTGCGCTCGTACGAGCGCCTCCACCCGCACCTTTCTCCACCACCACCACCCCCACCTCGCCCCCCCCCGCACCTTTCTCCACCACCACCACCACCTTGCCCCATCCCCCCCCCCCCGCACCTTTCTCCACCACCACCACCCCCCCCACCCCCCCCCCGCACCTTTCTCCACCACCATCCCCCCCCGCACCTTTCTCCACCACCACCACCCCCCCCACCCCCCCCCCACCGCACCTTTCTCCACCACCATCCCCCCCCGAACCTTTCTCCACCACCACCCCCCCCACCCCACCTCGCCCCCCCCCCCCGCACCTTTCTCCACCACCACCACCACCCCCCCCCCCCCACCGCACCTTTCTCCACCACCATCCCCCCCCGCACCTTTCTCCACCACCACCACCACCCCCCCCCCCCACCGCACCTTTCTCCACCACCATCCCCCCCCGCACCTTTCTCCACCACCACCACCACCCCCCCACCCCACCTCGCCCCCCCCCCCGCACCTTTCTCCACCACCACCACCACCCCCCCCCCCCCCCCCACCGCACCTTTCTCCACCACCATCCCCCCCCGCACCTTTCTCCACCACCACCACCACCCCCCCCCCCACCGCACCTTTCTCCACCACCATCCCCCCCCGCACCTTTCTCCACCACCACCACCACCCCCCCCCCACCGCACCTTTCTCCACCACCATCCCCCCCCGCACCTTTCTCCACCACCACCCCCCCACCCCACCTCGCCCCCCCCCCCCCCGCACCTTTCTCCACCACCACCACCTACCACCACCCCCCCCCCCCCCCCCCCCACCGCACCTTTCTCCACCTACCATCCCCCCCCGCACCTTTCTCCACCACCACCCCCCCACCCCACCTCGCCCCCCCCCCCCGCACCTTTCTCCACCACCCCCCACCCCACCCCCCACCCCGCACCTTTCTCCAGCGCCTGTATCTGCTGGTGGGTGAAGGAGGTGCGGTTGCGCTGCAGCTTCCGCTTGAGCTGCAGCCTCATCTGGACGTCGTCGGAGTCCTCGGCGGAGGACGCGGTGCTGCCTCCCCCGCCCAGCTCCCGGTAGCCCGACTCGCCGCACCCCTCCAGCTCTGGCGGGGGGGGGGGAGGTGGGGGGGGGGGAATTAGGGGGGGTTAGAGAGGGGGGGGCGCTCGTGGTCAGCAGCTTGCAGCAGTGGTAGCAGCAGTAGTAGCAGCAGTGGCAGCAGTGGCAGCAGCAGTGGTAGCAGCAGCAGCAGTGGTAGCAGTGACAGCAGCAGCAGTGACAGCAGCAGCAGTGGCAGCAGCAGTGGTAGCAGCAGCAGCAGCAGCAGTGACAGCAGCAGCAGTGACAGCAGCAGCAGTGGCAGCAGCAGTGGTAGCAGCAGTGGTAGCAGCAGCAGCAGTGGCAGCAGTGACAGCAGCAGTGACAGCAGCAGTGGCAGCAGCAGTGGTAGCAGCAGCAGCAGTGGCAGCAGTGACAGCAGCAGCAGTGACAGCAGCAGCAGTGGCAGCAGCAGCAGCAGTGACAGCAGCAGCAGTGACAGCAGCAGCAGTGGCAGCAGCAGTGGTAGCAGCAGCAGCAGTGGCAGCAGTGACAGCAGCAGCAGTGACAGCAGCAGCAGTGACAGCAGCAGTGACAGCGGCAGCAGCAGCAGTGGTAGCAGCAGTGGCAGCAGTGACAGCAACAGCGGCAGCAGCAGTGACAGCAGCAGCAGCAGTGGTAGCAGCAGTGGCAGCAGTGACAGCAGCAGTGACAGCAACAGTGACAGCAGCAGCAGTGGCAGCAGCAGTGACAGCAGCAGCAGTGGCAGCAGCAGCGGCAGCAGCAGCAGCACCAGCAGGCGAACGTCCGTCCCGTGCGCCGCGGCGCTCACCGAAGGCGCCGTCCCCAGCGGCGGCCGCGGCGCTACCGCAGGCCACCCAGCCGAGCTTGGAGGCCCAGGGGCCCGCGGCCGGGCCGCCGAGCAGCGGCCCAGCGGCGTCGCCGTGGCCCGGCGGGTGAGGAGCCGAGGAGGGGGGGGCGGGGGGGGCCCCCCACGCCTTGCCCCCTGCGCCCTCGGGGCACGGGTGGAGGCCCGCGTCGTGCAGGCCGCCGCCCCCGCCGGCAGCGAGCAGGAGGTGGTGGTGGTGCTTGTCGCTGGAGATGTTGCGCAGCACTCGGTTGATGGACGACACCTGCGAGCGGAGGGGTGGAGACGCGTGGCGTTGAGGGTCACCACCAGCAGACGCCCACCGCCGTCTCGTGTCGCGCGCGATGGGATTCTTTGTTGTCATTCAGCACGACCCCGCGCGCACGCGTGCGGCTACGGTCGAAACGCGGTTTGGCTACGCGCCGTGGCCAAAGAAGTTCAGTGTACATGGAGTCGCACAGAGACCCATAGACTCACACAGAGACCCATAGACTCATACAGAGACCCATAGACTCAGACAGAGACACATAGACTCATACAGAGACCCATAGACTCACACAGAGACCCATAGACTCATACAGAGACCCATAGACTCACACAGAGACCCATAGACTCACACAGAGACCCATAGACTCATACAGAGACACATAGACTCAGACAGAGACACATAGACTCACACAGAGACCCATAGACTCACACAGAGACCCATAGACTCACACAGAGACCCATAGACTCATACAGAGACCCATAGACTCACACAGAGACACATAGACTCATACAGAGACCCATAGACTCATAGAGACCCATAGACTCAGACAGAGACCCATAGACTCATACAGAGACCCATAGACTCATACAGAGACCCATAGACTCACACAGAGACCCATAGACTCATACAGAGACCCATAGACTCACACAGAGACCCATAGACTCAAACAGAGACCCATAGGCTCACACAGAGACCCATAGACTCCGAGACTCATACAGAGACCCATAGACTCATACAGAGACCCATAGACTCGCACAGAGACCCATAGACTCCGAGACTCAGACAGAGACCCATAGACTCATACAGAGACCCATAGACTCGCACAGAGACCCATAGACTCATACAGAGACCCATAGACTCCCTCCCTCTCCATATACTCACACAGAGACCCATAGACTCTACACCCCCCAAACCCCCCACTCCCCCCACTCCCCCCCATTCCCCTACTCCCCCCAAACCCCCCACCCCCCCCCCCCCCCCAGTAATATTTTCAAAAGGAAAACAAAGTTAAATAAAAAATAAAATGTATTTTTCACAAGGCTAACGACAAATAAAATTCACCAACTAAATCACTTTTCACCCAATCTCTGGAAGCCAACTGGGCCGCAGCCCCCTAAAGCCCCCCGTCCTTAACTACTGGCGGAGCCAGTGGGGGAGGGGGGGGCACGTGTCCCCTCAATGATCCGATCGAAATCGCTAATTTGATCGGATCATTGGGGTTTATTAGTAATACATCGGTATTTTGAGACCCCCACTGCCACTGTGTAGCATATTATTATGACGTGCCAGGGACTCTATGAGATGGTAGGACAATAGTCTGAGTGCATAATTGGCAATAAGTAACGGCAAAGCGGTTGTAAGCGACTCACAGAATTGTGTGCAAGTTGCGTCTACAGTACACGACTTCCCTGAAGGCATCAACACCTTCAGCGAGCGCGATGCTGATCACACAACGCGGTTCGAATTTGACCCTCGATCGACGGCTGCGCCAACGCCGCACACGCCTCGAACAAAAAGCAAGGGACAAGTCCTCACTTACTAACAACTCCTCTATCATGTCTCATTGCTGGAGGGGCTGCCCCCCCCCTACATGGAAATCCTGACCTCAACCCAGCCCTGCCCCACCACCCACCCCCTCCTCCCTCGGAGCCGACGATGTTTGGAGAATTTTCGATTTAAAGCTTTCGTGACTGCAGGGATTCATCGTCTTGGTTTTTTCGGTAAAGTCATGTAGAAGGGAAGTAATAAAATAATAAAAATAAAACATAATAAAATAATTCTCACGAGGTTTCGGCCACAACACAAGCAGCCGTCTTGCATTGTGGCCGAAACATCGTGAAAATTATTTGATCACGTTTTATTTTTATTATTTCATTACTTCCCTTCTACGTGACTTTACCGAAAAAGCCAAGAAGATGTTTGGAGACCGTGGTGGTGGTGGTGGGGTGGGTGGGGCATGGCGGAAGGCGCCACTCACGCTGGGCAGTGTGTCGGGTCCGCACGCACCGTCGGCGAGAAGGCGGTCGCGGATCTCCCACGCGAATATCGAGGGACAGTCCCTCTTGAGGGCGGCGATGCGGCCCACGACCGCCGGCGTGGCGACGCGCGGCTTGCTGCCGCCGATGGCGCGCGGGCGGATGGAGCCCGTCTCGTAGTAGCGGCCCAGGATCTTGCTCACACAGCCGTTGGAGACCTGGGGGGGGGGGGGGGGGCAGCAATGGGCGTAGCGGCGATGTCATCGGGCCGATGAAGAAAGCGGTGGTGGTGTTGGGGTGGGGGGCGATCGGGTCAGTCAGGGGGGCCCCGGCAAAATCTGTTCTTATCCTGTGACAGAGGTCGCAACCGGGTACCCGATACCCGTACCCTACCCGATACCCGTACCCTACCCGATACCCAGCTACCCGTACCCGTACCCGGCCGGGTAGCCGTTAGCGACCCTGGTGCGGCCGGGTACGGGTACGGGTAGGTCGTGAGTCACTGGTGAGTAACCGTTTGTCACTCATTTCGGGTAGGGTACGGGTACGGGTAGGGTACGGGTACCCATTTGCGACCCTGGTGCGGCCAGGTACGAGTAAGGAATAAAAACCCGTTTGTGACCTCTGTCCTGTGACCACGGCGGTGGTAGCTGCGCTCCAGAAGAAGAACGCAACTACCGCAAGCTGTGGGATGAATAATATATAACGCGTGAGGATGCGTACGACGGGGCCTGAGCAAAGACCCGGGGCGCGTGGGTCGCATCTCGAATCACGCAGCAGCATCCCGATGCCCGGGGCGATGCTACGCCGAGGCAGCCGTACGTCCGCTCGCTCCCGCCTCGCGTAGTTCAGGTTCGCTCGATGAAGATTGTGGAGCACATTTTACGAAGAATGTGTTCCCCAATACATGAATAGCGCTGTATCCGATTCGCGTTATGAAAACAACACGCGGCGTTGCAGGAGAACAGTCCGCATTTGTTTCGATTTAAAGCTTTTTTCGTGACTGCAGGGATTCATCTGCTTGGTTCTTTCGGTAAAGTCACGTAGAAGGGAAGCAATAAAATAATAAAAATAAAACATAATAAAATATTTTATTATGTTTTATTTTTATTCCTAATAAAATTATAAAAATAAAACATAATAAAATATTTTATTATGTTTTATTTTTATTATTTTATTACTTCCCTTCTACGTGACTTTACCAAGAAGATGAGTCCGCATTTGATTTGTCTCGCACCTGGGAGGCTCTTTGATGCTGCAAATCCTGCATAATGCACGGGCATATTATGACTTTGAAACCCCCCGCCCACCTCCTACGCATTCCACAAGTAATGACTAACCCCATATCTGAATTTTTCCCATAAATATGGTAAAATCCTCTTGATATGCAAATTATTTTGTCAAGGCGCTCTTCCCCCTCCAACCCAGCTTAAAAATACGCTGCCAAGCGTGGTGGTGTTTCATCAGACGCTGTCTTTCCGACAAACCTGGTCTTCACCTGAGGACGGCTGCTTGCGTTGTGGCCGAAACGTCGTGAGAATTATTTTATTATGTTTTATTTTTGTTATTTTATTATTTCCCTTCTACGTGACTTTACCGAAAGAACCAAGAAGACCTGGAAGGCTCCCTTTGCCCCACCAATCAGATCGCGTCGTTGCGCTCACAGTCTCGAACATCTAACGCTGTAGTGGTGGCGCTCCGCTTCCTTGCCAACATGCAGCCCCACTGGGGCTGCTTTTATTGAACTCACTTTGTCTGTTGTATCCTCAACTCTGTCTGTTGTCGTAACCTCAAATCTTGTAACTCAATTTGAACCCGCTTCCCAATGTGGTATCGACTGCAAACTTGGTATACGTATGTCATACTGATGACAATACCATATTCTATCATAAAAAATAAAATATGTATATATTAAGCAATCTTTTTTACATGTTATGTTTCGGCTTGGGTCTAACTGTCCACGCTCAACTCACGTTGGCTGTAAATCACCAAGGCCCCTTACGTTATGGCAAGCTTCGGGGCCACTTCCTGGAGTCGTGGAGTTCTGCCATTATGAGTAGGGCACATTTCATTAAAGCGTGTTTTTAAAAAACGTATTTTTAAATATTACTTTTACAATATCACGTTACCGCTCTAAATAACTGCAAATAAAATGTGATACGTAAATGAAAGGGTGTTCATGAAATACAAATGGAACCCTCGTTTTAAATAAAAAAAAAAAACTTTTACGCTTTTGAAAATATCTCTCATGGTGCTTGTCAAGGGGACGGGGGGGGGGCACCTCGTAGCTTTGGCCACCAGGGAGGGGCCAAAGCACCCCCCTGCCCCCACTGCTGTCACGTGGGGGAGTCATTGGGGGAGGGGCGGGGGGGGTGTAGATGGTCAGGGCGGTAGCGGGCCTGCCTGCCAGCGGGGTCCGAGGGTTCGCAATCGTTGAGCGATTTTAAGTTGAAGATAGAAACTTATCTTCTTGGCCCTTTCGGGAAAGTCACGTTGATAGGAAATAAAAAAAAAAAATAATAAAGTAAATAAAATTTACTATAAATAAAAATAAATTGAAAATAATTAATATAAATTATCTCCGCCTGATGAAGACCGCTTGTGTTGCGATCGAAACGTCGTGGGTTTTTTGCTTTCATTATTTTAAATTTATTATTTTACATTTTTATTTTATTACAATTTTTTTTTTATTTTCTCTCTACGTGACTTTACCGAAAGAACCAAGGCTATGAATTCGTGCAGTCACGAAAGTTTTAAGTCAAGAGGAGCATAAACCACCATCACGCGAACTCCAGCGGCTTTGGCTAAGCCATCGGACAAAGGCAGGCGGTCACCGCGTCACGCGCTTCAGATGCGCATTCTGCGGCCGTCTGGAACGCTCTTCTCTCCGATATCAGGAAGCCACTGGAGCTACGGCACTTTTAAATCATCATCTAGATTGACAAAGTTATTTGTTCAGAAGTGTTTTTTTGTGTTTAGTTTGTGCTGTCCTTCCCCACGCACCTCCGATTGGCATGGTTGGCTACGTACGGTGCGAAATAAGTTCAACGTGCGTAGATAACAAACCTGTCATATTTTTCATTTTAAAGCCATGGTGCTATTGACAAATGTGTTTTTCATTATCGTCGCTATTAACGCACGAACGCCTTTCAACCTTAGTGAGCATTCAAAGAGGGGTCACCAAGGAACTGTTCCCCAACGTGTCAAACCCTCCCCACAGTTTTGCTTTGTCTTGAATCGAATGTTGTCGACAATTATGGCACTCCCAAGAAGGCCGTATGACCGATGGGATACGTAAACAAAAACATGTATTTCGATTTAAAGCTTTCGTGACTGCAGGGATTCATCTTCTTGGTTCTTTCGGTAAAGTCACGTAGAAGGGAAATAATAAAATAACAAAAATAAAATAATAAAAATAAAACATGTTTTATTTTTATTATTTTATTTGTTCCCTTCTACGTGACTTTACCGAAAGAACCAAGAAGACAAAAACATATAGTCCAATATACATCTTCAATACAGGTTTTTTTGGTCCGGTTAGATCGCGTAAGTATAAATGTGTCGTTCAACCCGCCACCACACGACACAGCCAATTAGTAAGATTTGTCACGGAAACAAAACGTGCCGATTCGTTACTAGTCCAGCACACCAGTGTGTCGAAGAGTGGCGGGTTCAGCGACACATTTATATTTACGCGATCTAACCCCCCAAACAAAAAACTCTATTATGGATGATATTGGTCGCGAAAGCCTTTTTTCTTTCCACCACCACCACCACCACAACGCTCACGATCGTGTGGAGTGATCATGTGGAGTGATCCCCAGAGGGGTGGCATTCTTACCCCGCTACTCATGGCGCAAATTAATGATCGGCACGGCTCATCCAGCTCGACGTCAGTAGACCGGCGACTTACGAAAGTGAGACGAGAATGTACGAGCCTTGCCTGCGTGTAACGAATATTGCAGGCGAGATCTAATAGGGAATGTTGCACGTGAACTATTTAATTTGGAATATTCCAGGGGAGATATTTAATTTTGAATATTCCAGGGGAGATATTTAATTTGGAATTTCCCAGGTGAGATATTATACGAGGGAATGTTGCAGGTGAGCTATTTAATTTGGAATATTCCAGGGGAGATATTTAATTTTGAATTTTCCAGGTGAGCTATTTAATTTGGAATATTCCAGGTGAGATATTTAATTTGGAATATTCAAGGCGAGATATTATACGAGGGAATGTTGCAGGTGAGCTATTTAATTTGGAATATTCCAGGGGAGATATTTAATTTTGAATTTTCCTGGTGAGATATTACGAGAGGGAATATTTAAGCTGAGATATTTTTATTTAGGAATATTTAAGGTGAGATATCATTCCCAAATATTTGAATTTCTCATTTACTTGATACAGCAAGCGTGCTGTGACGGTTCCACCTGAAGACGGAAGCTTGTGTTGCCTCCGAAACGTCGTGATTTTTATTTTATTTTAATTTAATTTTACTTTTATTAATTTTAATTTTAATTTTTTACCTACGTGACTTTACCGAAAAAACCTAAGAATATGAATCCTTGCAGTCACGAAAGCTTCAAATCTAGAACCCAACAATCCAGTTTCGATATTGCCATTAGGAATATTGCCGGGTGATTTATGAACATTGTGAATATTCCGGGTGAGATGTAATAAATGAATAAGTAAATAAATACAGGTACATCGCACTCCTGTGGGCTCTCTCACCTGCAGTAGGCGGGAGATGTCACAGGGCCTGGCCCCGCTGTGAGCCAACTCGATTATCCGGTGCCGCGTGGAATCCGGCAACGGACGTCCGTTCACGAACATTCCGCCCAGCTGATTAACCCCGCTGTGACCTAATTCATTATCACAACAACAACAACGACAACAACAACGACATCATCTTGGTTCTTTCGGTAAAGTCACCTAGAAGGGAAATAATAAAATAATAATAATAAAACATAATAAAATAATAAAAATAAAACATAATAAAATAATCAAAAATAATAAATAATTCTCACGACGTTTCGGCCACAACGCAAGCATCCGTCCTGCGTTGTGGCCGAAACGTCGTGAGAATTATTTAATTACGTTTTATTTGTATTATTTTATTATTTCCCTTCTAAGTGACTTTACCGAAAGAACCAAGAAGATGAATCCCTGCAGTCACGAAAGAAGCTTTAAATCGAAACAACAACGGCAATTAAAATGAGACAACATCTGAAAGTGTAGCCTCGCTTAAGTGCTTCTTGCCCCCAACGCAGGTGCCACTTGCCTTTTTGATACATGGGCGTCTGTTTACAGCATCGGGGTGATGCCTCACGTGGAGTCCTCCAACGACACGAGGAGGAGGAGGAGGATGAGGACGGCCTGGAGACACGTGGAGCAGAAGGCGCACCACGTGTTAGGCAGGTGTGGCACATTAGGAATGGATCACTCTTTTAAGTATGTCCTTGTGCAGCAAGGGAGTAGAGTGTGGTTCTGTGAAAGTCCTGATGTGCTGTGCAGTGCATCAATGCGTGTGTGTACAGCAGCATGTGAGGACTGAGTCGGGCCTGTAGGTAGCTGGCAGGGTTATTGATTGACTGCGCGGATATACCAGTCACATGGTTAATGGCGGCTCGGGCGCAAGGCTGGTTGTAACACACGTGTTGTTGCATTTTACAGAGTGACGGTGCTGTTCTTCCCAAGATTAATATTAACCACAATAAATAAATGTGCTTGCCCTCGATTTGGAGCACCTGCCCACGTCCTTCATTTCGAGTGTGCAACACAGGTGGAACGTGTAGTGTCGTCATCGACGTCGCACGTGGAGCAGAAGTCACACCACGTGTTAGGCAGGCCGAGTGTGTAGTGTCGTCATCGACGTCGCACGTGGAACAGAAGTCGCACCACGTGTTAGGCAGGTGGAACGTGTCGTCATCGACGTCTCCATCATCAACACGATCACCATCTTCATCGTCGTCATTGTGTCGTCGTCATTGTCAAAATGTCTCAATGCGCCATGAACAGGATCGAACATCTGCATGTAAGTGGTGTATATATATACACACAAGCTACTACATATCTCATTATCATTATTCCACGATAGTGACACATAGGTAAGATGCAACTATATTGGGCTATACAGTATATCGATATACTGTATATTTGTATATAAATATACAGTATATACCACAATGGCACTATATCGTGGTGTGTATATTTTGGGGCTAGCAGTATTCTGTATAAAAATACCGATCTACATATATGTACACATCACACCGCTTAAAGTGGTGTATATATTTTGGGGCTATCAGTATTCTGTGTTTATATATACACCACTAAATATTAATGTATGTATGTCAACATCATACCACTATATTGCGGTGTGTATATATTGCGGCTCGCAGTATTTTCTATATATATAAATCGCTAAATATATGTACACATCCCACGGCTACATAGCGGTGTATATTCTTAGGTTTTTTCGGTAAAGTCACGTAGGTAAAACATTAAAATTAATAAAAGTAAAATAAAATAAAAAATAAAAATCACGACGTATCGGAGGCAACACAAGCGTCCGTCTTCAGGTGGAACCGTCACAGCCACGACAGCTGTATCAAGTAAATGAGAGATTGCAGGAGCTACCACTCCGTTTATATATAATGGTTGGAGAGGGGGGAAGGGCCAAGTACGGCACACTTTTTATTCATATGGTAAGGTGAGGCTTAAGAGGGTGAGCCTTTGTTATGGAGAGGTACGGTTTGTGACTTAACCTGTGAAAAGGAGAAAACAACTGAACATGGTAAACCTGTAATAGTTGTCTGTCAAATAAGATTGGCCAAATAAGTGTAGTTAAATCTTTTTTGCATGGTTCATCACAAACGTCGTGATTTTTATTTTTTATTTTATTTTACTTTTATTAATTTTAATGTTTTACCTACGTGACTTTACCGAAAAAAACCTAAGAAAATGAATCCTTGGCAGTCACGAAAGCTTCAAATCTAGAAATAGCGGTGTATATCATACTATAGATATCGTGGCTACAGTCAGATTTTCCACCACTGTTCGCTTTGATCATCCGCCGACGTCGTTTCAGATGTCCCACGCGGCGGCGATTCGCGTCTCGATGACCTGGGCGTGAACCCCACGAAAAAGTCGCTCATCTATCAGCGGCCCCCCAACGGTGCCGCGATAATGAGGCCCACGAAAGCCTCACCGTAATCATCGTCATCAAACATCGGCTTTGTCATCGTCATCATCATCAGCAGCAGCGGCCTCCACGAGCCAACTCATGTCGCTTGCACGTGCTATTGTTATTGTTGCTAGCGGTGTCAATTCTAGATTTGAAGCTTTCGTGACTGCAAGGATTCATATTCTTAGGTTTTTTTCCGGAAAAGTCACGTAGGTAAAAAAATAAAATTAATAAAAGTAAAATAAAATAAAAAATAAAATAAAAATCACGACGTTTCGGAGGCAACACAAGCTTCCGTCTTCAGGTGGAACAGTCACAGCACGATAGCTGTATCAAGTGAGAGAAATTCCAAGAAAACCGTATTTGTATAAAAGTTAGTGGTGTCATTGTTATTGTTGTTATTGGTGTTATTGCTGCTGTTGTTGTTATTGTTGTTGTTGATGGTCGCGCATTGAGGCGCCGTGAGAAGGAGAATCTGTTCCAATCTCTCACGGAGAGCGCGTCCACGCATAGCGGAAACCAAAGTGGACACCTCCGCACAGCGGGACACGAGGCACTGTCTAATCGCCCATTTGTGCATCATCATTAAGAATCCACACCACCATCATCATCATTAAGTATGCACACCACCATCATCATTAAGTATCCACACCACCACCATCATCATCATTAAGTATCCACACCATCATCTTATCATTAAGTATCCACACCACCACCATCATCATTAAGTATCCACACCACCATCATCATCATTAAGTATCCACACCACCATCATCATTAAGTATCCACACCACCATCATCATTAAGTATCCACACCACCACCATCATCATCATTAAGTATGCACACCATCATCTTAATCATTAAGTATCCACAACCACCACCATCATCATCATTAAGTATCCACACCATCATCTTATCATAGGTATCCACATCATCATCATTAAGTATCCACATCACCACCATCATCATTAAGTATCCCACCACCATCATCATCATTAAGTATCCACACCACCATCATCATTAAGTATCCACACCACCATCATCATTAAGTATCCACACCACCACCATCATCATCATTAAGTATCCACACCATCATCTTAATCATTAAGTATCCCACCACCACCATCATCATTAAGTATCCACACCATCATCTCGGCTACAACGCAAGCAGCCGTCTTCATTCTTCACCTGAGGACGGCTGCTTGCGTTGTAGCCGAAACGTCATGAGAATTATTTATTGTGTTTTATTTTATTATTTTATTATTTCCCTTCTACGTGACTTTACCGAAAGAACCAAGAAGACACCATCATCATCATTAAGTATCCACACCATCATCACCATCATCATCATGAAGTATCCACACCACCACCATCATCATCATTAAGTATCCACACCATAATCTTAATCATTAAGTATCCACATCATCATCATCATTAAGTATCCAAACCATCACCATCGTCATCATCATCATCATCGCACGGCGCTTTCAGATGCGCTTCTGCGGTCGTCTGGAACGCTCTCCCTTCCGATATTAGGAGGCCACTTGGAGCTGTTCGCTTTAAAATCATCATCGTCTGGATTGACATTTCTTTACAACTAATGTTTGTCTTTAGTTTGTTGTCCTTCCCCCACACCTCTGTTTAGTGCGGTTGGCTACGTACGGTGCGAAAGAAGTTCAACATGCGTACGTACAAACATGCAAACAACATCATCATCGCCACCAGCTTCTGCGGCCGTCTGGAACGCTCTTCCTTCCGATCTGCGGAAGCCCACTGGGAGGCTGCGGCGCTTCTAAATCGTCGTCTACGTTGACAAACTCATTTCCTCGAGAACTACTTTGTTGCGTTTAATGTGACTGTCCTCTCGCCTTCCCTGGACACCTGCAATAGGCGACGAAAGAAGTTCAACTTACATACAACAACAACAACAACATCATCAACAACAACATCTGAGAATAGGTTTTCCCCTTTTTCTGTCAACAAAACAGTTGTGTTAAGATGTTAAAACACCAAACTGAAACCTTTCACAAGGAATCACGTCTGCATTAACCACAATACTTGTAGTCAGAATGCAAAAAAACACACTCTGATAATATATTATGCGTTTTCTTGGTTCTTTCGGTAAAGTCACGTAGAAGGGAAGTAATAAAATAATCAAAATAGAACATAATAAAATTATTCTCACGACGTTTCGGCCACAACACAAGCAGCCGTCCTCAGGTGAAGACCAGGTCTGTCGGGGAGACAGCGTCTGGATTTTATCCCCTTCTACGTGACTTTACCGAAAGAACCAAGAAGATGAATCCCTGCAGTCACGAAAGCTTTAAATCGAAATATTATGCGTTGTCCTTGAAACTGATTGGGTCCACACCAGAGACAGCTTTCTTTTGAGCCTCGTCTCAAAAACGGTCTTAGACCACCACCACCACCATCATCATCATCAGGGTTGTGCAGTGCCACTGTTTGACGGTTTAGCGCGCCGGGCACGACACAACTGGTGGCTTTGAGACCGCTGCCTGTGGATGAGATGAGACGAGATGGGGGGGGGGGAGGGGGCGATCCGGGAGGCGGCCGTGCGAGCTGCCAGCGCAGCACTCGAGAAGAGCCCCCCACCCCCCCACATCGCCCCCCCCCCCCCCGTGTAATAATTACCCCGGCTTACAAAATGAACTTTCCTCATCAAAGTTAATGAGCCATTCACAAAGCGGTCGTCAGGCCGTGCGTGCGTTCGTTCGCACCCCCCCCCCGTGACCCCCCTCCCCCCCCGTGACCCCCCTCCCCCCCCCCCCCCCGTGACCCCCCTCCCCCACCACAACTTTCTCCCCCCCCCCGAACCCCTCCCCCACCACCACTTTCTCCCAACAACCCCCCACCACCCCAAACTCCTCGCGAGATAAATACCAAGAGCCATCATCTACCGTCGAGGGCAAATGGCCACAGCCAATCGAGGGATCCCCCCTCCATCCATCCTCGCTGCCACCCTGAACGCGTCTCTCGCCACCACCGCCACCACCACCGCCAACCCCAACACCGCCACCACCACCGCCACCAACCACCATCACCGCCGCCACCACCGTCACCACCACCACCACCGTCACCACCACCACCGCCACCACCGTCACCACCGTCACCACGCCACCACCGTCACCACCACCACCGTCACCACCACCACCGCCACC